CGTCCTACTTCAGGCTGCCCGCCCTGGGCGCCAGCCTGCTCGGGATCGCGCATCTGGGCGGGGCGCGGCTCGCGCGAGGGGCGCGGGTGCAGCCCTGCGTCTGCGTGCTGCCGATGGGCTGGAGCCACGCGCTGGCCCTCTGTCAGGGCGTGCTGCGGCGGGCCCTGGACACCGCGGGGTTCACAGAGGGCCAGTGCATCGAGGACGGGAAGGCCGGGGTCGTGGTCGACGAGGAGGGCGCCCTGGCGGTCGCCGGCTACGTCGACAACTACGCGGCCCTGGGTCGCTCACCGGCCATCGTCGACCGGGCCGCCCTCGCCGTCGCGCGCGTGCTGACGGATAAGGGGCTGCTCACGCACGATGAGGAGCCGGCCGCCCGCGATGCCACCTTCGTAGGCTTAGAGCTGAAGAGAGGACGTGATCTTTCGATTAAGGCCAGGAGCATTTGGAGGCTTCGTTTTGGGATCGACGCCCTGCTCAGGAAGGGGTTCTGTTCTGGAGACGCTCTCAGAATCATCATCGGTCACTTTACCTGGGCTGGGTTGATTCGTCGTGAAGTCCTCTCTTTGCTCAACTCATGCTACCAGTTTGCAGAGCGGATCGGGCAGCGACAGGCCCGACTGTGGAGATCAGTGCGGCGCGAGCTCTGGCGAGCGCGCTGTATCTTACCGTTGCTCAGCGTTGACCTCAGCGCCGAGTGGTGGCCAGAGGTAGCCGCATCAGATGCTTCGTTGTTTGGTCTTGGAGTCACTGTCCGAAGAGCTCCCATCCAGCTGGTATCCTCAATTGGCCGATGCAGTGAGAGATGGCGTTTTCGGGTTGACGGGGCCCAGCGGGCTCGCGAACATGCCCTTCGTCAGGCTCCTGTGGACTCCATCAATGACCCCGACAAGGCCCTTGAGAACCTGCTGGTCGACAACCCCGTGGTCTTCGACGAGGTCCCCATGGGCTTCCTGAAGTCAGACACCTGGAAAGTCGTTCATGCCTCGAAGGTCGCTGGGTCCACGGACATCCTAGAGCTCGAGGGGGAGGCGCTCCTAATGGCTATTCGTCACACGCTCAGAAACACTGGGGCTCTTGGGAAGAAGATCCTGTTCATAGTGGACAACCTACCATTGGCCCTAGCGGCCACAAAGGGGCGGGCAAACTCTCGATACCTCCGACACGTGCTTCAGAAGATAGCTGCTCTTTCACTGACTACAGGGTGCAGGATAGTTGTGCGTTGGGTCCCATCTGAACTCAATCCTGCTGACAATCCGTCTCGAGGCGATCACGGTTTTTTCACTACTCCATATCACGTGCACCTTGCCCGGCCGCATGGCGGGGCGCCGGCGGCCAGCGGCGGCGCAGGCCGCCGTCGAGCGGGCGAGGAACGCCCAGCAGGTGGCCGCCTCCACGGTGCAGACCTTCGGCCTCTCGGTCCTCGAGTCCGCGGCGATCCGCCCGAACACGCAGAGGCAGTGCCAGGACCGCCTGGCGACGCTGGTCCTCTTCTGCCGGACGTACCACCTGGACTGGGACAGCTGGGAGACGCTGGACAATGCGGTCACCGCGCTGCTGAACCATCAGTTCCTGGACGGCAAGTGCTCGGACCTGGGGGCGCAGCTGATCGCGGCGCTGGCGCACGTCTACCCGAGCCTGGCTCGGCGCAGCGGGCTGTGCCTGCCGCGCGCTTGCCGCGCTGCCGGGGCCTGGAAGCGTCGGGCACCCGGGCGCTCGAGGCTGCCGATGCCGAAGACCGGCGCGGCGGTGATCGCCGGGGTGATGCTGTTCCTCGGCCAGCGCCGAATGGCCATCTACACCATGCTGACCTTCATCTGCTACCTCAGGCCGCTGGAGGGGATTGCGCTGCTGGGCAGGCACCTGGTCGCCCCGGTGTCGGCGGCAGGCGCGAGCTACGCGAGCTGGGGGCTGCTTCTCCACGACTTCGAGCTCGGCCAGCCGTCCAAGACCGGCACCTCGGACGACGCGGTGCTCATCGACCAGGACAGCTGGATCCTGCCAGCGCTGGCCGGGCTCCAGGCGGCGACGCACGCCGACGCCTCGCTGTGGGACTTCGGCGCGGCGGAGTTCAGGATGAGGTTCAAAGCGGCCGCGGACCTGCTGGGGCTGGGGCAGCTTGCCCCGCATCCCTACTCGCTCCGGCACGGCGGGGCGTCAGACGACCTTCTGGCCGGCCGCCGAAGCCTGGAGCAGGTACGGGCGCGAGGCCGGTGGGTGTCTGCGTCAAGCCTGCGCCGATACACCAAGGCCACGCGCCTGCTGCGGGAGCTGCAGGAGGTCCACAGCGACATCTTCAGCTTCGGGAACTTTGTGATGACTCACTTCACGGGGCTCGTCGAGCACGGGCTGACTGGCCCGCTTTTCGACCAGGTCCCGGCGAGCGTGAGGAGCCTGTTGCTTGCGAGCCAGAGCGGCGGGGCCCCGTCCGCCGCCGGCCGCGGGCGAAAGCGGCGGCCAGCGTGACTCACCTGGTCCACGGCGGGGACGTGGGCGCCCACCTCGGCAAGAGGTTCGCTGCGAGCCTGGGCCGGGCAGTGCGCTTGCGGTCGCTGCTGTTCCTCGAGCTCTTCGGGGGCTGTGGCCGCGTCGCGGCCAGCGCGCAGGCCATGGGCTATGCCGCGCTCAGCCTGGACATCAACGGCTCGCCTCTTGAGAACCATCTCACCCCGACCTTCCTCAACAGGATCCTGGGCTGGATCGCGAGCGGGGCCATCGCCGGGATCTGGCTCGGTACGCCCTGCAGCACCTGGACCCGTGCGCTTCGGGTCCCGCTGCGGACTGCTGAGTACCCTGACGGGCGGCCTGACCTTTCGCCTGATCAATTTAGCAAGCTCGATATAGGAAATAAGTCATTCCAATTTTCCCTTCACGTGATCCGTGCATGCCTCAGACACAATGTAGGCGTCATGATTGAGAATCCCCAGACTAGCTTGATGTGGTCCTCGCCTCACTTTCAGAAACTCCTCAGTTTACAAAGCAGCACTTCTGTAATATGTCACATGTGCCAATTCGGCGCGCCCTGGAGGAAAGCTACTCGAGTGCAAGCCTGGGCCATCGGAGAATTGTGGGAGCTGTCGAAAAAATGCGGCGGCCCCCGAGGCATTTGCAGCAGGACTCTCCGGCCCCACCTCGAGCTCAGTGGGCGGGCGCCAGGCGGGAAGCATTGGACAGCCATTGCCGCCGCCTACCCCGCTGCCTTTGCCAAAGCTGCCGCTGCCATACTCGTACGCACGTGTGAAAGCAAGCGCTCCCTCGCTCTCTCTGACAGAATGGGAGGGTAGCCCTGATTGTTTTTTCGGCCCCAGGCCAAGTTCGCGTTCGGGTTGCGGATGCGAGGCTCGTTCATCTGTCCAGTGGCTCGCCTTGTTGTCGCG